TTTCATAAATGACCTACTAGTACTAAAAAAAATACACGATGACTCACTGAAAATGAAATAAATTCTCTGTTGATTAAAACACAGACTGTGGATTACCTTTTAAAGTATTTCATATTCTGTTATTTCATAAAGAGGATAAATCTTCCGGCAAAATGAACGTTGAACGAAGTATTTCGTAAGAGAGTCCAATGAATCTTAGCTTTCTCGATCGGAAACGAAGAGCCCTTGGCTAAAGATTATTGGTTTGTTTCCCCTGGGGAGTTTACAGAGCGTGACAGACGAGGACCCAAGCAAGAGGCACGTACAGATCGGACTCAATGGTGCTTCTGATTAGAAGAGTCAGATGGGTAGAACTGATCAGGACAATAATTACTCCTGCTCAATAATTAACGGAATCATCCTCTAACATTCATTATTCTTAACACATTGCATCTATCACAACATTTTATTTAGTCTTTCTTCGAGTAACAGAGAAGCACAACTGGTTGTCAAAAGTTAACTAAAATTCTATCTTCCTAAAGTTGAAATAAAAATTCATTTTGAGAGTGGCTGGGTGAGATATCAGGTTCTCACGGCTATATTCTGGGTTGTTTGCTTCGTGTAGTATAGTAAAAGTTTACCGACGTTTCGGAGATGTTTCCTGCCTCCATCATCGGGGTGATAAGTGACTTTCATGTGATTCGTGTTGGAATACTGATTACGGCGATGTTCTGTGGAGTGTCTTAGCTTATAAATATCAGTCACAGACAAAACATGGATGGCTTCAATGACTGCATATCTACGCAGACAGAAATCAATCATCAACTCTGGTAGATATTAAAATTCCGTACAGGGAACAAAACGTCATGAAAGGGGGGGAAAGCTGAACTATAAAGCAGATGCCTGCGTAGTTTTCCGTTTTTAGCGGCTATTGAAACGAATCTGCATTCTTGAAACGTGCGGTATTAAACAAGAGTTTTCGTAATGACAACCAACCGAAGTCCTGGAAAGTGAAATGAAAAGCCAAACGCCTCACAGCGACAGCCAACTGAAGCGATGAAAAAATCTCATTAATGTTAGCTTTTTTACCAGATACCGGCTTTTACGTCGTGAACAAGGCAGACCAACCAGCGATTCGTTATTGAAACTGACCGTTTAAATAACGAAAACTGAATAAAAATGAACGCGTCCCTACAAAATTTAGTTTCCCAGATTTTATAAAAATTGACCCAGTGGTTTGAATCCTGTTTCATATGGACAGCTGTCTGTTGGTTTTCGTGACTGAAATAGATTGTAACATAGGCTCTGACTTATCCAATTACAATGTCTGTCGAAACGTCGGGCAATTCTCAACATTCGATGCAGTTTACACCCGAAAGCCGAAGTTACACATTAAAACAAGAGTAATTTTTGGAAATTATTTTCTTTCGAAAGGCACTGAAAATAGTAAAGACATTAGACGCGAAAAAGTTGCCATCCAAAAGAGAAAAATTTACCGCTAGCTATTTTTTATTTCCCAGGCCAGTATTTTGAAGTTGGTACACAGCACATGACATCGTGTAACTTAACGGAAGGTAGTGTTCTCAATTTCCTGTAATAAGACGTCGGAGTCACGTCAGCAAACTAATGAGCAAACTCGTCCATATCAGTAACGCACGTGCCAAAATCCTGCTGACGTTATAAGATCTGCTCGTGACATGTCAGGCATCGTAAGAAGTGACCGAACCCCCGATCCCATCATAACCTGGAGCCAGTCGGTATTGTTGTTCTGAGTTGTCACGCTATGTGGGCTCGTAGGTGGATATCTACGTCACGCTGGAACATGCTCCCTCAATCTTCAAGGCTGAATATAAAGATTATATTTCTTTCTTCAAAACGCTGGTTTCCACCTACGAGTTTGCACGAGGGCTATTTCCCAACCAGTACCCGGTGCACACCTCTTGTCCCATCCATGCGCGCTACATGCCCAGCCCATCTCATTCTTCTCGACTTAATCACCCTGACAATATTGGGGGAGGAGTACAGATTTTTAAGCTCGTCATTGTGCAGTTTTCTCCACGCCCCATCGTCTTCTCTCCTAGGCCCAAATATCCTCCTCAACACCCGATTCTCAAAACCCTGCAATCTGTGTTCCTCCCTCTGAGTGAGAGACCATGTTTCGCACCCATACAAAACAACAGGCAAGATTATTGTTTTGTATACTTTAATTTTCAGGTTCTTAGAAATCAGACGGGAAGACAAAATATTTTGGACTGAGAAGTAGCAAGCATTTCCGGAATTTAGTCTCCTCCTAACTTCCTCACTTATACTTATAACCTATATTTAAATATTATTGCAGAAATCGGTTGATTTGTAGACCCTTCGTATTCTTAAGGCACCGGAGCCAAAGTTACAAAGCATTATTCCCACACCATGGGGCTCAATAAGCGTGAGGCCGCCGACGGCTCACACGGTAGAGAAATTGTTCTTAAGATTTCATATCGAGGTCGGAGTCGGTACATTTTTACCGACTCCGACTCCACCTAAAGTTGCTTCGACTCCGACTCCACAACCCTGGTTTGCACAGCGTGATAATCCAGAAAAACATCGATATTTTCAGCGCCGTGAGAACCTGAAATCTCACACTCTGATACCTGTTCGTATTGATCAATATTTGTAAACTCCTGATGGCTGTGGAATACTTTAACATGTAGGTAAGTTAGAGAAACTTTTCTGTCTTTAATAAGCTTCAAAATGTAACTGACATGACTTTAATTACAGTACACAGTTTTTCGTTGTGTGTTTCCTCATGTTTTTGTTTTCTAATATGTTGGCAACATTAGCTACTCCAGATGGCTTATTGCCCTCCCCTCCAAATATCACCCAAATGCACTTTCCAATAATAGTAAAAATTCTCTGCTTCGTGGTTTCAATTAACTGTTTCATGTTGCAAAAGGACCGTTCTAAACGTACCAGATAATTCTGATTATCTGAATTCTTAGATTCGAGGCAGTATCAAACCTTAAGGTGGCATTATTTCGCACAAATGCCTTGTTCAAACAAAACTGTCGTGCATGAAATTTACTGACGTACATATCATATAAATAAATTACAGTTGAGTAAGCATTTTCGGTAAAGTGAAATTGCGAAGGACTTACGGAGATAAGCGACCACTCATTTTAGAGCTAACGTCGCCCTAGAGACGGGAAAAATTGAATTTATGAGAAAGCGCTCATAGTAGCTGAATTTACCCTATTAAACCACATGTATCTGAGGGCATATTTGTTGGTGGGTTACCTTAGCAACGCATTTTCAAATATTAACATGCAACAACCAGTTTAGCCACGTAGTAATAGAACAATGAAGCAAGCCTGCGGGTATCTGGTAGCTAACGATGGACGAACAGTCTTTTCGTGTAGCCTGTTATTTCAATAGGCTACCTGTATATGTGATTTGTAGCTATTGTTTACCGTCGAATTCGAATTTGTTCATAAATATTTGGAATTCTTCCTTCATAAGTTGCCATTTACTCTTGGCTACATAATCAGCGTGATTATTTTCTCAATTATTTAATTAATATAATCAATTGCAGACTAATTTTCTTAATTAGGAAGGTTGTGCTCGTAAGTTGTTCTACGATATAAATAAACTATGTTACTGACTAAATTTGGGCAAATAAAACATCATTTATCAGGCCCATAACAACATTTTAAACTTTATTTTTCCGACTGCATTATTTAATCCGGGGTTGTTCTGTTATTTTTAGAGTGGATTAGGGCCGACTCTCAAATCAGTTATAGTTGGCATGAAGCCAGTAATAATGTGTTGCGTTCCTTTGATTTCAAACGACGTTTCCTTAGTAGAATTAAATTAGCTACGTAGAAACACAAATAGCATTTTTAAATTGTTATGTCCATTACCATTCCGTGTTGAATCATTAACGTCAGTCGGAAAGATTAACCTGTTTCTTGTTTGGGGAGTACTAAAATTCAAATAAGCGTCCTAAATTAAGTTCACATGGAGACAAACAATAGACCAAACAACAATGAAAAAATTGCCTGAATAGTTTTCCAACCAGGGATTTGTATCCAATGCAAAATAACTATTGTCGCCAGGAGACGTTCGCAGTTCGCTTCCCGTTCGTTCAATAAAGCCATTAGCAATGCGCCATGTGAACGGTCACACATCACACACCAAGAGAACTAACTTGAAATACAAAAACATTGACTTTGGTCCGCATGCTTTCTACAACTGATAATTTCTCGGTCCTCATTTCCTTTAACGTTACGTTTCTGAACCCGCGAATTAAAATCTATTTAAATACGATCCCTCTGAAGTCCACTGCAACCTTCCGGAAAATATAATAGCAAAGCAAAGCGGAGCAGAACGGAAACATTTGGATGGACATTTTGTTTTCCAACCAGACGTTGTATTAATTAATTCGTTTATTTAACGAAGCTGTCGGTAGCTTAGAATAAAAAGCGTTCAATAATAAGATGATTAATGAATAATAAATTAGAAAGTGTGTGAAACAAAGCGGCCATGGCCTAATTTAAGGGGTTACCCAGGCATTTGTTTGAGAAAAAATTACTTAAGCCGCTTCAGAGCGAAAGTCGTGACATATTCTTATCTCGAGAATTAATAAAATCCTCTCTGGCTATCATCCCAAGAGGATTTTATTAATTCGGTTCGTCGTGAAAGTTTTAGATCATTCACCATATTGAAAAGCTAATAGCCGCTCAAAAGGTCAAGAAATCATATGGAGTACGAAGATTCATTATCGTCCACAGGAGTCCATATTTTTTTCCCTGTCTTGAGGTAAATGAATCAAGACAATGCTTTCAAATCTCGTTTCTTTAGAGCTCATTTTAATATTTTTCATCATATACTCTCTTTCAGTTTTACGATTAAAATTTTGTACGAGCCTTTTCCCACTCATGAAAATTCTTTACCAATTATTAACAATAATAGGTCTAATTCTCTAGTGTGAGGGCCCGTTAAAAGATCAGTTGTGCTTAATAAGACTTATCTTCCTTCCACAGGGACTGAGCAGGGAGGATTCCTAGCGCCAACCGACACAAACATGTCAACCCACGACATAAGAAAGCCTTCGAAATGCAGGTGCGTATCCACAGATCGAGGCCGACACGAAGTGTGGAACAAGTGCGAAGCGGTTCTGGAAATCTGATTGCTACTTAAATTATTCTCAGCAGATTTGTATGTATTTTATATGAGATTTAATTCGATATTTTTCAAACAATAAGTGAGTAAAACGAACTATAAGTTTCTTGTGGTGCTGAAGATGTTGACGTTCTTATTCTGTGCTGTGACGCTTGAGGACTTGTAAGTGGATAGCAGCGTTTCGGAGGATCATACTACTGTCATCTTCAGGAGTCAAAGTTTCGGAGGAACACACAGACTCTATGTTATTTTGATGTTAGACGGACCTTTTTTGAAGTCCCGTATAATATTTTATTGGATAACCTTAATAGTTCTGAACAATATCTTCCTTCGCTCGCGTCTTAGAAAAGTCTTCCCAAGCCAATTATGTGTTATCTGGAGTACACCAAGGTTCTAACTTGGGCCGTCTTGTTTGATAATTTTATTAACGACCTTTGAGCTATAATTTGCTGATGAGTTAAAAATATGTCAACATATGACTTTTCACATTCAGTGTGAATTTAGACAAGGCCATTCAGCAAGGCGCTCTATTGCTACAAATTTGTGGATTTTTGGCCATTTTATTTAAAAAACAATAAAAACTTTTAGGAAACTTTATGTATGCTGTATTCATTTATCAGTTTTTTTCTGTCACAGACTCTGAGGTGCTGAAAAACGCTATAAAGGAACTTAAATACTATAATTGAATTATCGTTTATATTATCACCACTCAATGATAGGATTATACGCGAAAGATAAATATGAACTGAATTTAATTAATCCCTGTTATCAACTTTAATACGTAAACTTAATCAGTATGATATGGGACACGTTAAATGAAACACATGTAAATATTGACATGATACCTTCAGAAGTTAATAAAATAAAATATTAATTATAATAACAGCCTGTCTTGGTTCTGTAACTAAACCACTTGCAATATCAGAGCAAAATGTCGGGCCCATTTAGGTAACTTACAGTGCCCAAATTTAAAGTTTTCACGACGTTTTTAGTAATATGATGACTTTCGGGTTGTCAGCCGCGTCGGTTGAGCTGGTGAAGAAACCGCCGACGTTTCGATAACCATGCTGTTCTCAGCCTCAGGGCATAAACTGGAATCCAAATGTCACTTCTCGTCTCCTTGGCTGGAACGAGACACTAATTCGCAGATGATATTATAATCGAATCGCAGCGAAAGCATTAATTTATCAACTGTAAATACGCAGTCGACATTTTAGTATAACAAATATCATTATTATACATAATTTCATGATTATATATTAATTGACGCTAAAGCAGCTCCTACCACAGATATCCGTGCGCCCACCGCGTTGTTATTAACGACTGCAAGAAATTACATCATGGAGGCTACAGTGGTCACCAGTGGCACAGCGTTCATCTGGCCGACATCAGCTGTTTCGGAAGCCATCAAGTGCGTGCATCTCTGTATCGCATTCTGCCGATTTCTTATACTTGTCATTCAGTGCAAAAATTGCCTACATCTGGTGTCTATGTTTTTTTAAAAAAAGTATTTCGCCTTTAACAGTCCCGTCAACGAGTATGCATTTCATTAAACAAATGGCCCACTACGAAAAATCTAATTAAGGATATCCGGTCTACGGGCCAAGATTTGAACCCATGACCTCCCGAATACGAAGGAGAAATACTAACCACTCGACATTGACGTCCGATAACAACGACAGTAAGAACAATCAAAAGTTTCGTCTTTCATTCGAAATTAATGTTATTTGTATAAACTATTATCGCTGTCGTAAACCTTGGTGCTTGATTATCGAAACCAGATTTCATCCAAATCCACATGATGGTTTCCTACAGAAGACAGGGGTAAACACACCTTATTTATTTATTTAGTTTTAGTCATGTCATCCGCTCAATACAAAGAACACATACAAGTGACAAGGTGTCTCAGGAATACAGCACTGTCCATTGATGTAATAGCCAAGGAGTAACGTGGCTATTACATTAAATAGGAAATGGACAAAGAATGAACGCGAGGGTTTAAAGGATTGTGTCTGTAGTTCGTTAACACCCTATGCACAATAACCATGACGTGGAGCTCTCTCCATAATAGAAATATATCATAACCGGTATGGGTAAGACGTCACAATGACGCACGAAGGTTCTAATGGACAACTCTTCCCAGTAACAGCCTGCCCCTCCTGTCGTGTGTTGACCTAAACCCCGCGTGTGGTTCAAAGAAACTAATTTGCATATACGAGCTGAGGAATCGTGTTAACACATGCTTCAGAAATAAACTTAAAGTGTTGTTAGGCTGAGAAATCTCACAACTGAGGGTTTCGGAAGGGCTGATGAACTGGACCTATGGAATAAGACATTTCGAAAACAAATCACAGGGTCTGGCAGGGACTGAATGAATTAAAGTTGTAAGCTTCTAGCCACTTGGCTTCATTGAATACAAGATTCGTTACATCGTCTGTGTGTCCACTTTCAGTTATGTCCTCTTGAGAACATGAAATTTATCCTAAGATCTGTCGTAATTTTACCCAGCCATTCCATTCGAATTCCAACAAAGTTCCGTAAAGCAGGTCATGGACTCTTCCACCTCATTCACATTCATTTCATTATACATAATCATCGATACTAAACATCCTGTGTAATTGAACTGTCTGCGAACTAAAAATATCCTTTCAATGTCGCCATCCTTTGTAAATCATGTAACTTTTCATTCGCTACTACAGACAGAACAGAGCCTACATGGAGTACACATTGTCGTTAAAGAACTCCGAAAGAGGACATCTGTCATCAGGATGTTTGCATTATTGCTGAATCATTAGCTCGTTGCATTTATCCTAGAGGTAAATCAGTGCGCCATGTAACAAACCAGTCATCTCATTACAAATACTCCCGCCGAGCGCCGTTCCTTTGTCTGCGTCAGTGTATTTATATCCCTGGACATTGATTTGAAAATCTGAAAGTTCTTTTTGTTGCGATGTGAACAGCAAACAGGACACAGAATATGAGCAGTCAAATGAGATTCACAGAAGAAAAATAAATGACAACAAAGTGAATTTATGATATTTAGCTCGCATATACGAGGAATGTACAGAGATTTAATTAAACTTCTGACTTCGCATCGCAGTAGCACACGAAGCCCATGTGTCGCATTGTTTATACTCAGCACTGTACTAGTTTATAAATCATCGTAGAGGGAACTAATTCAAACCGTCAGGCAATCAGCTAAAACTATTTCGGCATTAGAACTCTGTAATCCTTTGAAATAAATGCACGTGTGAAATTTAATCTGGAATGGCTTCTCGCTATAAATAAATCCATCGTGACCCAATCTGCTTTATCTCCCTCCTGTCGTAGATTGAATAATCGGTGTCTCGAACGAGAAACGGTCACACAGACTGTAGTATGTCGCCCTTTCGCGAGCATCCATTTGTGCAGAACATTCCCCAAATGATATATACACACAAGATCAGTGTATTCCATTTTATAATGTTTATACGTATTTTGGGGGCATTCTGTATATGATTTTGCAGGGTCGTCTGTCAGATTCTGACATACTGATCTTGAATGAGCCTACCTATCAGGTCGACCAATATGGCCGTGGGGAGGGGGGAAGATTGGCAATATTGTTTGCCAACGCACTTTGTGTGTACAAGACTGAAACTTACGCTACTGAACAGTAGAGATAATACATGGCATTAGTTCATATTATTTACCTTTTATTTCGCTAAATAATGCGCATGCAGACAAATATTTCGCGGGCTGTAATGAAAATCTGCACGTCGTACAACAAATTTTGATCCTGACAAATTTAAATTTCAGTGTTAAACGAGCATTGTTATGGGTCTGCCCTTTATACGACCATTTCATGCATTTTGTGAAAAGAACGCAGTTCGACTGCACATCTGCCCTCCTGAAATAAAATAGGACGTAACTGACAAGGTTGGTGGCGCAAAAAGTGATATTGCATTTGAAGTTCTCTTCTTCGCCACAATCAGTGACTCTAATTTATGCAGACAGCAAAACAAGACTGCAACAGAACGGAATTGTTTCATTGCCTGGCTTCACAAGCGGGCTCACATCTGGCAGTAACAAATTTATCGATCCATAAAACGGTGGAACGATTAGTGTTGAATATTCCCTACAATAAATATTATTCAAAAGGACAAATGATAATATTTCTGTCCTTGGTTCGACTATTCGACTTCTTGCTCGTCATTGATTTGCATTTATTGCCCTTTTCAATGCTTAAGCCGTTTTACCAGTTCTTCTTTTTTTGACCTTGGGAATCCGTCTATGTGTGTGTCTGTCGCGTTCCTCAGTCATCCCTTAGGAACTAGACCACCCTATAGCTTCCCTAAGGGGCTAAGCGAATTCATGGGGGTTGCACCCCAGGTCTTGTCTCCGTGGGGTTCTTTCCCCCTCCCCGGGCCTTTGCCCCTGAGCTTGCCGTACTTTTGAGCTTCACAACAACTACAATAATTCCGTGTTTCGCGAAATTATTATTTACGAAGAGCCTTTTATTACGTGGAAGGAGGGTGGGAGGGAGGCCAACAGAGGTATGTACACTAAAGTGTGAGAAATTCAAACCATTTTATACAAAACACCCGTCTCAAAAAAAAATCGGGGAAAAGATGTTTCTCAGGCTTTGTATGATTCCAAAATTCAACATATTCGTCTCCACCCAGTTAATTTTGTCCCCATGACACTGATTTTCTACACCCCTGGAGTAAGTATAAACAGCACCTTGTAACTATCTGTAAACGTATTATATGACGTCATTTCCGGTTGCTAAAGTGTGAACATGTAGTTCGCAACTTCACTTTCCGTTTCAGCAGCGACACAAGGTCGTTTTTATTTTCTTTAACCAGAACCAGCCACCAACAAACAGTCTGCGCATATATAGATCGCCGTGCTGGGGTGGAAGTAGCTGTGCTAATGGCCCTCTTGCATAAGAGGTAAACGTC